CTCACCCGGTTCTTGCATACCTGAAACCCTTCACCCTGGTTACCTGCGCCGGGGAATGGTGTGTAGTTGTGTCCGCCATTTTGTGTTGTGATCTCTTCCTCCTGTCTGCACTCTTGCTTTTGTGAGGTCATTTCTTTTCATCCGTTGTACGTAAAGGGATTTGGCCAGCTTTCTCTCTCTCTCTCTCTCTCTCTCTCTCTCTCTCTCTCTCTCTCTCTCTCTCTCTCTCTCTCTCTCTCTCTCTCTCTCTCTCTCTCTCTCTCTCTCTCTCTCTCTCTTTCTCTCTCTCTTCTCTCTCTCTCTCACGTCCAAGTCTCTTTTTTGACATTGTTTTTCCTGGGAAATGTGTCTTCATTTTCATTATTTTGATTTAGCGATTATGATGCAACATGGCGCATTCCTTCGTCGTTAAAAGTCTCGCAATATGTCGCCATGTGGTGCAACATGCGAGGGAACGTCGATCATTAAGCGTGACTTTTGACTTGTAGCATTTGAATTTAAGATATATAAAAATCACTGTTCGGATGAGAGAAGGCTATGTTTTAATGGGTTGTTGGTGATAAGTTATCATGTGAGAATTAATATATATAGATATCACATGTTAACTCTTATCAAGTTCCCAGATGCGATAAGGTCTTACAGGCCTTTCGCGGGGAATCTGTTCTCATTCTTTTCTTTTTTTGTAATGTTTTCTCTTTTCTATTATCTGCGTAGTGTTTCTTTTAGGAATGACTTTTGAATCTTTAGTGAAAAGCCGTCATGGGTTTCGGTGACATAGTTTTGTGGATTAGAAATATTGAGTATAGTAGAGGTATATTTGTTCCTTATTTTACATTTAAGGATGCTTGATTTATTACATAGGAATGTTGTATATACATTTTTTTATAAATCAATATGCAAAAAATTCCTCCGAAACATAAGAAAATTAATTAACGATGTCCATCTACATCCAAGATCATGAAGCGCAATTGCCATGTTTCATTTGATATAAGGCTTAATATTTTGAGATATAAATAATTTCATCTGTAACATAATGAATACTAATACAACACTCGTATTCAGTACGCTATGCATAACGAAACAAAACGTTAACAAGTAAATCTAATCCTAAAAATTAGTTCTGACACCACAGGATTTGACATACAAAAAGCAACGAAAGTTTTCAAATAAAGAAAATTAAGAATTATTGAAGCATCGCAGTCATAGATATAAAACATACCGAGACCGAAGCTCAGTCCAGTGGTAGTAGAAAGTTTCCCTGAAATGAGAAATAAATGAGAAAGAAAGTGCGGCTCGGCAGCGGTGGATTCTTCGTGTGCTTCGTAGTAGCGGGAAAACAATCGGCGAAGTAAGAGCAGCTTCTTTGTGGCTCCTTTTTCGGGTAATCTATGTGAGGAATTCTTGATTTTGGGGGGTTCCTAAGGGCTTTTTTCGGTATGTAGGAATGTGTTGCTACATATTGTGGTACTGAGGAGAGAGAGGTAGAGGGCTGGAAGAGCGAAGGCCAGGAGAGAGCAGCGGAGATGGCAGTGTGTCGTGAGGCATGGGTGCAGGTGCCGGGCCAGTGGAGGCCTATATCGCTGGCCGCCTTTTCTCTCCTGGCGCTTGCTCTCGAAGCTGCGTCGTGGCCGGAAAACGGCTGGGCGGGCCGTCGCAGGGGAAAACTTTAGCGGGGGGATTTCGGGGTTAGACGAGCATTAGAGGGAAAAAATCTGAAGAGGTGATAAGTGGTAATCAAAAAGTGTGAGGTATTCGAGTTGTAGGAATGCAGCTTTCAGGCTGCGTTCGGAACTCCTCGTCTTGCTCGTCCAGACAACTTGTCCAGGACCAGCAGAACAAGTGGGCCGCGTTCGGAACCTCCAAGACCCTTTCTGCCAGAATGCAAGCGGTTCGAATGTAAACATTTACCTTTATATCTTACCTGTGTCATTATTTTACACGCTGCATAGGTTTTGTAACTTCTTCGATGCATGTTTAACTTACCTGTAACTGACAATTACAAAGATATCCTTTGTTAACTCCAGTAAAGGGCCATAAACTTACCCATCAGTATCTTGTGGTTACTTGCAACTGTCAGTATTTACATACAAAAGTTACTGTGACATTCTCGTCCTGCTCTCCCACTTTCGCAGGAGGATGAGATAGACGAGATAGTAGAGGTTCTGAATGGTCAAAGCATCATGTCCAACTGGACTGGACGAACAGGATGTGCAGTTCCGAACGCAGCATCAGAAAGGACGAGCCCTGGCGGTGGTTTTCTTTTGGGGAAATCAGGAAGATGTAACCAACCTGTGATAGCTTTCTTATCACGACTTTTTCTTTTAATAGGCTGAATTCTGATGAAAGGTCTAGTCTTGGTTGCACTGTAAACAACCTTCACTTTTGGAGCAAACAATGAGAACTGTCAAATTTACTGGGAGATGGTAGCAGTGCACAAGCATGGATGTACCATGTATTTCTAATGAAATTATGGTACATGTATTTAAAATCAATCCCATCATGTATTTATAGAATGAACATTTAATAAATGCATATTTCGTTAAAATTTCATATAGATTGGAATACAGAAATACATTTTACTACAGTGCACTTCTAAGAAATTTGACTTGCTGTTACGAGCTATATGTGCAAAAAGTTTGTGGGGTTCCCACTTAGCTAAGTTGTTCGCTTCAATGTGAGATGGGCTGGACTTTGTCGCTGGAGGTGCATGTGGACTTAGTCTTTGCGCTGCATTCTGCATGCCACATTTTTGTTGTTTAACCCACTAGCAACGGTACACTTTCAAGCCTAAAATAATGTTTTCCGGGCGGCTTCAAAATCGGCAGGTGGGTGAGTCCAGTAACCTGCCCATGTGCCGCCTGCAACAGGCAACAAAATCGGGGCCAAGTTTGCTGCTAATGGGGGGTTTCCGCGCAATAAAACCTACATATTTGGATTGTACAGAGTGAGAGGAATCCAACGATACCAAAATTGTTGATATCGGAGAGGCGAAGGTAATATAGAAAATTACCCAATTTACTTTTCCGGGTGTCTCGTGTGTGACACCCATCATAAGTGGGTTAACTTGAATAGGTTCGCTTCTGGAATCAATTTTGATAACAATGTATGTAGTTTTTCATTGCCTACAATGCTATGATGTTCAGTTTTCTCTTAGTTGGTGCAATTCTTTCATATATCTATACAGTTATCTTTAATTATCTGTGTATTGTGTGTTTCACACTTTCATTTGCCAGCCACAAGATTTGACAGTTCAGAGCTGGTGATTTCATGGCAGAATGCAGTGAGAATCATTACATTACTTGTGTTTAGTTGATTCTGAGTTATTCGGAAGACTATACAGTGGGAACATAGAAGAAATATAATTTAGTAACTGTCCCAGTTTAATACCTGAGCCCATAAAGTGTCCCAAATGCAGTAAAAAGGATTGAAATCTAAGCAATCCAGACAGTAGAAAGAAAGGAACAAAAGTTTGACGTTTCCATATAATATTTAGTTTTACTATTTTATGGTGTGAACGTACATACCAAGGTAAAGAGAATGTTTTCTGGGGTGTGTTGGGGCGGAGACCCCATCAACCCTCCTCTCGGGCAGTGCCCAGAGGGTACGATTAGTCTCAACAACATAAATTGTTAGATTAGGCTCATTTATTGGTCAGTACATATTTTAGGGGGGGTTGGAAAGTGGGAATTCCTGTAGGTTTTGCCAAAATTGGGTTGGGTTCCTATTGAGTTTTTGAGTTTTGGCACCCCAGTCCATAGAATTTGAAAGATGGCAGGTATTTCTGTAGAGTTTCATTAACCAATTTTAAGTTTCTTGTGCTGGTTTTACACATTTCTCTTCTCAATACTTCTTATTTATGCTTGTTTTCCCCATAATTTCCCTGATGTACTTCATGCCTTCCCCTGCTATTGGGACTATCAAAATCAAGATCATTGCTGGAGAAATGGTCCCCCATTTTTTTATAGAAATATTTGCCCTTATGACCCCCCTCCCCCCATTTCATGAGGCATAGCTGTTATTCCCTCTCCTCAGTTTGTTTCAAAACTTGATTGCCAATCTAGTAAGGGGGAAGTATGATTCATGAATATAATTGATTTGTAATATATGCATTTATAATTTGTCTTCAACTATTTTGTTGGGCTTTTTTTGTCCAAATCAGATTTCCTGCCTTCCTCCTTGCAGTGCAATCCCCACCAGCATATTTATTTTTAGTCAGTTTAAGATATAGATAATTATAAGTGACATAATCAATTATAATTATCAGGTATTAAAGAACTTGCAACCAGCAATTGAGGAAGGAAGCAGATGCAAAACTTGTTTATGAAATTACAGCTTGTACTCGTTAGCCAGAGCTTAGAGATCTGATGCATAAAGTGATGCTCATAGGTAGGCTTGTGATTTCCAACCAGTGAACGTGGCAAAGTTCACTAGTGACATTTTAACTGCTTTTTATCAGTTATGTAAAAATTGATATGATACCTGGATTATTATGAACATATTAAAATCAAAAGTCAGTGGGCAATAAGCATTTGGAAACGGCAGCATTTGACACCATGTCCTTGAAAGGGTTGGAGACTTCTGTTTGGTGAAAGTAGAGATTTGGTTACAATCAGAAGACATAGAAATTCTTTCTCCAGAATGGTATTTTCCACATGCTAATTACCAATTCATATAGTGGCCCTCACTCATCGTCGTGGGAGGGCTTAGGAGATGGGACTGAGACCCAATGTAGAGGATTACCCCTACCTTGGGCCTTAGCCCTTGCCTCGACTAATTTTGCTTGGTCCTTTCTTCTCTTCTTTCCTCTTCCCTATCTTCTTTATTCCATTCTATACCATTCCTAAGGTGTGAGAGCCATGCTGAAAGGATGAAAGGCTGGCTTTGTGTCAGTCACGAACACCCACTGGGAGCCAAGGGCACGGTATTCCCTTGGTTAATTACTTAGCCCTTACCCTTGATGGGGAACCCTGAGGGGTAGACTGTTTCTTTTCTCCAGTTTATTCAGGCACACCATGACCAGTAATGAAGATTTTTTACCCTTAATAGAGGCATTAAGGCTTGCTCCTTCATCAAATAGCCTATCTGAATTTGATTTTGATGGTTTCCAACCCTGCCCTCTTTGACCATGGCTCTGACCACTGATACTAATACCCCCTTCTCGATGCTTACGAACAACTCTAACCATTCTGAAACACCACCAGGTTATTACTCAACTCCTAGAAAAAAACTCTTCCTCATCCTCAACATTCTCCTCTTCGTCTCCTGCTGCACAACCCTCTTCAATGTCAACCTCCTCTTCCCTTATCACTACTATTCATCGTTATTGTCCTCCCCCCCGCAGAACTACTCCACTCCACACTACCCAATCTTCCTCTCGCCCACGTTCTTCTATTGCATCTACCTCTGCAAATCTTCTGAGTACTCTTATTTAGCCCAGCCAAATGGGATCGATTCTTTGTGATGATTCCCCCTACAGCCTCCTATTCTGAGAATACCCTTCTCTTTCGGCAGTGCCTCCAGAAACATGTAGGCAAGGTTACCTTTCACAGTCGCTGTGATTGTTCTCTCCTTGTCATGGTTATAACTGAAGCCCAAGCTCATGCACTATCTTCCCTAACTGACCTTACTGGCAAGCCCATTCTGGCTGAACTTCACCCAACTCTTAACCCACAAACAATGGGTGTCCCACATATGAGACACCCCCAAAAAAAAAAAAAAACATTGCCGGGCTTCCCGCCAGTGTGACGCTGTATCGGGGCTCACACTCCGATGCAGCAGCGGGCTGCTGGAACCATTTCTCTTCCCCAAGTGCTTCTCCCATGTATAACAAGGACTGGTCAGACTGTGAAAATGAACTACTTTCTTGCAGTACAGTGTTACATTCTCTTTCCCAGAGGCCAACGTAAATCCCATGTCAATATTGCCAAGATTAGCTTCCACAGACAAAACCTCCCCCATGAGGTTTATATTATTGGATTATCCTATCATGTCCAACAATATCAACCCCTTCCTCATCAATGTCAGAAATGTTAGCGTTTTGGCCACCTAGCCAAACATTGTTGCTCCACAGCCCGCTGCCCTCTGTGTGCCCAACCTGATCATGAGTGTTCAAATTGCCCTGCTCAGTCACATACATGTGCCAATATTTGAGACTCCCAGAATATGTTTTATAGGAGCTGCCCTGCATAAAGTTTGAATGTGAGGTAGCAGTCCTCTACGTGAGGCCAGACAGGAAACACAGCAACAAGGCTTTTCTCTCTCAACTTATTCCAAAACAGTCCTACGCTCTGCTCCCCCACCATCTACACAAGATATTTCTGCATCTCCCCAGGTATCTTTTCACTATACCCAAAACCTACGTCCTATGTCTACTCACCCTATCCACCAGTCAAATCCATTTTCTATCCTAAATCCAGATACTCCAATCTCTACCACTTCCCGGATACCTACCCCTCCTCCTCACTTTAGTTGTCATACCAGACAACCTAAACGTTCCACTCCATGCTTTCCTACTACATTCTCCTAACCTTCCTCTTCATCTGTTCCTCAGATATCCATCTCCTCTTCTCATCCTTATAAGAGAACCTTTGTTTCTCAGTCCTCTATACCAAATTCCCCTCCAGAAACCCTTGAAGATGTCCAAAACTTCCTAAAGATGACAAGGGAACACTTCGCTCCCTCATCCACCCCCCAATCCCTTTTTTCCTATTCCTGCTACATTTAAAGTATTTGCAGATATTCATCCTCCTTCCCAAGTTCCCTCCACCCCCTTCCTCTTACACCCTCTCAACATACCCCATCCTCTCTGTCACTTACACTTGAATACTCTCACGAATCCCCATTATTACAACAGTGTACTTCTCCAGACCCCTCCTCTACAGATATTTTTCCTGATGCTTCACCATCTTCTCCAGTCTCCCTTCCCAATCCCTGGATTCTTCTCCTACTTCTCCAACAGCCACCTCTGTTTTCCTTGATCAGTGTCCCTGCTCTTTCTCCAGTCACAGATGCACCGCAGTTCACTCAGTTGCTCTACCCCCTTATATTCCCCCAACCCCTTCCAAAATATCTCATCCTCACCTTTATTACTAATTTCTGCTCTAATTCACTTGCTCCCCTATTCCCCCTTTCACTACCCTACTATCCTATAACATTCTTTAAACCCTTGACATCTAGCACATTTTATCGTAATCTTTTACTCTCCTTTGCCCTTTCCAACACAATATTTTACCATAGTGCTACATGACCTTTGATGTCTAGCACATTTATTTCCAAACATTAATTAATTAATCACCATTGCTAACAATTTGGCTATTCAAATTTAGCAACAATACAATTATTTACAATGAAAAATCACAAAGAAAGTATCACATCTTAATGTAAGGGTTCAATCAATGAAAATGACAAAAAAAATCTTGCATGCAATTAACAATGCTTTTGTGATTTTCTGCTTCAAGCCTTCATGCAAACCCATGCATGGCCAGTTAAGCAGAAACCACTCTGGGGAAACAATGTAACTAAACATGTAGAGGAGGTCTCTCACATAGGCCTAGCACTAGCAATGGTACATTTTCAAGCCAAAAATAATATTTTCCGGGTGGCTTCAAAATCGGCGTACAGGCGAGTCCAGGAACCTGCCACACGCTGCCCACCATGGGCAATAAACTCAGAGCACGAACTCCAATCTAGTGTCGCACTGGCGGGACACCCGATACTGTTAACTTTTCTGGGTGCTAGTATGTGGAACACCCATCGTAAGTGGGTTAAGATGTATATACCAAAAATTCCTTACTGTAACCACATAATAGTTTAATTGCAGTTGACAAATGTATTTGAAAGTGTAGATACTGGTTACCTGTTTTACTTGTGTTACATATATTAACTGTTGTTCTTCATATACTGCAGATAGAATTATTAAGTGTGTGGGTTGAATTTCTTATCATCTGTTAAGTGTAATTATTGTTTAAATGAAACTAGTATAAGATATGGGTATGACAATGAGTCCATAGTTATTACATTTATGATTGACTGAAAAAGAAATGAAAATTATTAACAATAGTAGTAATTCACACCATCAATCCCTATGAAAATCCTTGCTCAGGTGTAGCATAAAAGATATACCTTTACAAATACAACTAGTTTTAGGTAGCTAGTGTTGAGTGAAAGCCAGCAAAGAACTGATCATTTTCTCTTCTGCTGTGACAGATTCAGTAATGGCTCGTGGACATCAGAAAGCCCAGTCTCAAGCAAAGAACCTTGCCAAGCAGGCGGCTATCAAGTCAAAACAGGGCCACAATGCCAATGCCCAGAAGAAAGCAGCTGCTAAGGCCCTCACCTACCAGTGCCCTGTTTGTCGGGTGAGTTTTGAGCAGTGCTTCAAGGAGAAGGGAATATAGTACATAATTTATTAGTTTTTGTGGAATCATTTTTAGTTGTCTAATCTTCAAAATATTTCCAAATTTAGAGCATGGCATGTATGAATGAAGACGTGATATTATAATTTCTGCCATATATTTGCTTTGTTTCAGTTCTTGACTAGCAGGGTAAGTGATGCTCAAGTATGTCTAGTGGTAAGACAAGTATCTTAATTTCCAGAGCATGATGCCAGACCCCAAGACATTTAAGCAACATTTTGAGAACAAGCATCCAGGGGCTCCATGCCTGAGGAACTCAAGGACATCTGATGCAATGAAACGAAGAGCTGAGGTTGAACTTGCACACTGTTGGGGCTCCAGCAAGACGTGACCCATCGTCACCTGAATTGTCGGCAGTGTTTAAAAATATGAATCTATTGATCAGGATAAATAATTATTTGGAAAGGGTGTGAGAGGCCTGGATTTAAAGCCAATCCAAGATTTCTGACTTAGATTTTCTACTCAGGTGTTACACATTTTATTTTCTTCACTATCTTGGAAATGCTAACAAGACTGTTATTGATTTCAGTAGAGCTTAAACTTGATTTTTAGTAGTTTAACAACTCAATAAAATCAGTTTTCCTTTTTTTTTTCTTTGTAGTTTACATAGAGGTGTTTATTTCAAAGATTCTCAAAATCAGGAAATTACACATTGTATTGGCTCATTACAACTTTGGCAGAAAAAATGTACGACGACACAACCTATTGACTTGCAAAAGAAGTCATGATTTGAAGAATATACATTTGATGATAGTCTGTGATATTTAAACCAAAATGCATGTTCATTTCATCATTTTAACATCGGGCCCGTTGCTGTCCCCCTCCGTGGTGCAAACATTGGACTCGGCTGCTCGCTTCATTTAAAGTTATCTGGTAGGAGTTGATGCTGCTACTTGACATTGAAATGGAATTTTTTTATTATTGTTTTTTTCTTCCTTTCTTTCTTTCTTTTTCTTTCTTTCTTTTCTATGTCAATAATTTTCTTTTTCGGGGAATCCCTGGGTATTTATTTACGAACCCATGATACGTCCCTTTAGAGATTGCCTCAACTTTTTGATAATCTTTGGTCAGATTTTCCTAAAAGCTCCTTATTTTACCTCATGTCTAGAACAGTTTGTTATGGAAAAGGAAAACATTACAAAGTAAAAATAGACAAACAAAAAAAAAAAAAATACATGAAACATTCTGTAGACCTGTGACCACCCATGGTTTTACCTGAAGTGAAATTTCAGTGTTCGACCCTGAGGCCTTTGCATAGGCCCTGTCATTATATCTCTGGTAAGTAACATGTAGATGATGCTAAGAAGACATTATCTCCATAGGCATTTGGTCTCAGTGCTTGTCTAGCAAGTTTTTCTTAGTATTTCTTTAATTGAGAATTCAGCAAGCACCTGCAGTCACAGGTGGTCTCTTTCCTGTCTTTGCTTGGTTAAAACTTCAGTTTCTGTCTCTCTGCTCCTCCTTCACATCACCATTCCAGTATTTGGCTAATATTCAGAGAATGAGAGGCTTTGTGGAGGTGTGCTTTCTTCTGGGTTTGGCTCTCACTGCCTCTGTTTCCTGAATTTCAGCTTAAGCTTCTCCAGAGGACCAACTTGTCCCTCTGTGACTTATTGTATGACTGAATGCAGACTCTCTTTCATTATTATTGTAATTATTCCTTTCTCACATGCGAAGGCCATTTGTTTGTTGAGAAATTGTCATCCTGGGTTCCTTTGCTTGGTTTTGTGCATCTGAAAGTGTACTGTACTTTTTTCTCAATATTTTCAAAGGAATCCCAAATAGTCTGGAGATCTTGCTGTCATTGCCATAAGTGTCATCCCATACACCAAGTAAAAACATTATTAGCTCAAGGTTTTATTATTTTATATATAATCCATGTAAATCATGGGGATAATAAAAGTGTTACCACACCTGTGCTTTCCTGTACATTTCATTCCTGTAAATTAGCCTGGTAGACTAAGATATTCTTTAGTCTGATCTTAAATACAAATACATGCACTTGTATTGCTTACCTCACAAAATAATGGTTCAGAGCTGACACATTCATTAATGTTACAAAAGAGCCAATGAGTAGACTACTCAAGCAAAACCTAATTCTCCTGCATATCACATTATGTACAGTTGCCAATGTCCTTTTAAACACTGAAATATTTTTAAAAGAAAAAAGGCTTTCATGTAATTTAAGCATTTTATTTATACAAAATCCATAAAGAATTTGAGAAATATTATTCTGTAGGAATTTGTGGTTCATAATTAGTACGAAGATACCTATTATCTGCGTAGATATGCCCACTAGATGTCACTCCCGTTTTTTGTCCACAAGCAGATTAGGCAGTAGAGGTAAGGCATCTTGGTATTTTACCTCCGTTTCCTGTAATTTAGTATGTTTGCTCATGCCCTCCCAAAACATAGCTCATCGTCGTGGGAGGGCTAAGGAGACAAGAACTGACACCTAATATACGGGATCACCCCTACCTTGGGCCTCATCTCTTGCCTCAACTGATTTTGCTTGGTCCTTTCTTCTCTTCCTTCCTATTCCGTATCTCCATTATTCCCTTCCTCTATCCAGTTCCTAAGGTGTGAGAGCCATGCTGAAAGGATGAAAGCCTGGCCTTGTGTCAGTCACAAACAGCCTGTGGGAGCCATGGGCACGGTATTCCCTTGGTTAATTGCCTAGCCATTACCCCATTTGGAGACTCTAAAGGGTAGACCATTTCTTTTCCCCATTTTATGCAGGCTCACCATGGCCGGTAATGAAGATTCTTTTCCTTTAATAGGGCATTAAGGCTTGCCCCTTCATCAGATAGCCTATCTGAATTTGATATTGGTTTTCTGACCCCTGCCCCTCCTTTGACAGTGGCTCTGACCACTGATACTAATACCCCCTCTTCGATGCTTATGAACAACTGTAACCATTCCAAAACACCCACTCAGGTTATTACTCAACCCCTAGAAAGCACTTCTTACACATCCCCAACATTCGTCTCTTCATCTTAGCAGAACTACTCCACTCCACACCACGCCACGCCATCTTCTACCATAACTGACCGTACTGGCAAACCCATTCTTGCCGAACCTCACCTATCTCTTAATACTTATACTGAAACGGTTTCTATTCCCCAAATGCTTGGCCCATGTATAACAAGGATTGGTCAGACTGAAAATGGCCTCCTTTCCTGCCTTGCTGAATATGATGCAGTGGCAGTACAGTGTTACACCCTTCTTTGTAGAGGCCAGTATAAATCCCATGTCAATATTACCAAGATTAGCTTCCATAGAAAAGACCTCCCCATGAGGTTTATATCGGTGGATTGTCTTATCATGTCCGACAATATCGACCCCTTCCTCGTCAATGTCAGAAATGTTGGCGTTTTGGCCACCCATCCAAACATTGTTGCTCCACAGCCTGCTTCCCTCGATGTGCCCAACCTGGTCACGACCATTCAAATTGCCCTGCTCAGTCATGTACATGTACCAATCGTGAAGAATCCCATAATGTGTTTCATAGGAGCTGCTCTGCCTTTAAGGTTGAATGTGAAGTAGCAGTCCTCAAATTTAAACTAGGCCTCACTCTATGTGAGGCCAGACAGGAAGCACAAGGACAAGGTTTTTCTCTCTCAACTTATTCCAAAACAGTCTTTTGCTCTGCTCCCCCACCATCTTCACAAGATGGTGGGGAGCATCTCCCCAGGTATCTCTCCCTTAGACCCTAAACCTATATCCTATGTCTACTCACCCTATCCACCATTCAAATTTGTTTTTCCAGATATCTATCTCCTGTTCTCCTCCTCATAAGAGAACCTTTATTTCTCAGTCCTCTTTGCCCAACTCCCCTCCAGAAACTTTTGAAGACATCCAAAACTTCCTAAAGATGACCCAAGGGAACACTCCACTCCCTCATCCAACCCCCCAATCTGTCTGTTCCTACTCCTACATTTGAAGTATTTGCAGATATTCATCTTCCTCCTCAAATTCCCTCCACCCCCCTTCCTCCTACACCCTTCCAACATACCCCACCTCTTTACCGCTTTCACTTGAATACTCACATGAATCCCCTCTATCATAACAGTGTCCTTCTCCAGACATTCTTGCTGATACTTCACCGCTTCCCCAGTCCCTTTTTCATCCCCTGGATTCTTCTCATACTTCTCCAATAGCCACCTCCATTTTCCTTGAACAATGTCCCTATTCCTTCCCCAGTTATAGATACACTGCAATTCACTCAGTAACTCTACCCCCTTATATTCCCCCTACCCCTTCCCAAAAATTCCTCATCCTCTTAACTACCCAAACCAAAACCTCCCCCCAAACCCCATTCTTTTCCACATACCTCATCCTCTCAACCACCCAAACCAAAACCCCATCCTTCCCCACTATCCCTCCCACTCCCTCCTGTATACACATGTGAATCTCTTTTATCACAATACCCTTCCCATCAAACCCCCAGACACTACTTTGCCTACTCCTGATCCTTTATCTCAACTCTCAGATACCTAATGCCCTACTACTGAGACAACCATATCTACCATTATCACCTATTATCCCTATTCCTTCCCCAGTCACAAATACAATGCAATTCACTTAATCCTCTACCTCTTGAACCTTTCCTATTTACTAATCAATGTTATACTTCATTTACTTTCCTCCTTTCCCTTTTTGTTACCAAACTTTCCTTTTAACATCCTCTAATCTTTGATACCTAACACCTTCCCCTCTCCCTGGATTCTTCTCCTACTTTTCAACAGCTATCTCTATTCTTCCTTGAACATTTTTCCTATGCCTTCCCCAGTGACAGATACACTATTATTCACTCAATTGCCCTACCTCCTTAACCCTCCCCTTTATACTAATTTTTGCTCTAGTTCACATGCTCCCCTATTTCCCTTTTCACTACTATACTATCCTATAACCTTTGACATTAAACTCATTTTATCATAATCTTTAACTCTCCTTTGCTCTTTCCAACACAATACTTTACTGTAGTACTACATGATGTTTGATGTCTGGCACATTTATTTTCAAACATTAAACATTAAACCAAGGAGTCAATTACTATTCATACCTACCTCACTGATTTACACTTTACTTGGATTTTGTAGGTTCTTTTCTATGTTATATTGCTGTTAGTATACTGATAACATAATAATAATTAAGATTACAATAATAATAACAAAATTGATACTAGTAATATTAGAAAAAGAAACATATATTCAAGAGTACGGAAATCAGCTGAGGTCACATAGGGTCTACTACCTGAACCTTTGGTGGTTTAGCACTTGTGGAGCCATCTGTGTGGAAAAAATCACAAAGGACTGTACATGTACCCACAGCCAAAGAATATTATATATTATTTTCATAAATCAAATAATTTTGGTTGCAATT